TGCCCTGAGAGCCCGCCCAGGAATGTTGTCCAGTCCTGCTGCTTTGCGGGGATTGATCTTCCTCAGGACTGTGTGTACCTGGGCTGGTGAGACAGTTAGTGGAGGGGAGGTGGCGGGTTGAGTGGTCTCAGTCTCTGTGTGCCTCCTCTCTGTGTTGTGGCTGGAGGTCTCAAAGCGGGTGTAGAAGGTGTTTAGGTCATCCGGCAGGCTGTCTGTGGAGCTGATGATGCTGGTGGTGGTCCTGTAGTCTATGATGTGCTGCAGGCCTTGCCACATCTGTCCGGAGTCAGCAGTAGAATAGAAGTCATTCAGCTTCTCTCTGTACTGGCTCTTGGCCACTGTGATGGCTTTCCTCAGTCTGTACTTCGCAGTCTTGTACTCCGTCTCATTGGCTGATCTGAATGCATGAGAGCGAGCACGCAGCATGTGGTGCACCTGACTGTTTATCCACGGCTTCTGGTTGGGAAACCTCCTGACTTGTATGGTGGGCACAATGTTGCCGATACAGGTACTAATGTATCCGATCACTAAGGTATCCGATAAAAAGCCATTGTAGGTTACATGGTCTTCATGAAACAATTAAGCCTAAATTTACTGGCTGAAAAAACTTAGAAAAATCAACTGGACTAGGTTTCTAGGTCGAAGATGTTTCACCTCTCATCCAAGAGGCTTCTTTAGTTCTGCCCGACTGGCGTTGAGTTGGAGATATTTATCCCCATCGGTGGTGTTTCAGTCCTTTGATGGCCAACAATGTCCCCTAACGACTCGTTATAGCCCAGTATCGGTGAGCATCATTACCTGTCTTTGAACCCTCACCTGTAGACCTAAAATTACTGGGTCACAGTTGTGTCCCTCCATCAAACAGTCAAATTCATGGGATGGTATAGACATGAGGTCACTGTGGCCTTTGACCTCAGACCACCAAAATCTAACCGGTTCATCTATGAGTCCAGGGGGACATTTGTGCCAAATTTGAAGAAATTCCCTCACCGCGTTCCTGAGATATCGCTTTCATAAGAACGGGATGTATGGACGAGCCTCCTGCCTCAACAATCGCTGAATGTAAAGGTAAACATAGCTACTGACTCAAATGAAACACATTTTTTCTGCATTTAAATGTTTTACAAATCAGTTTCTTCATTTTGGTCTAGGTATATTGTTGCATCAGGTTTGAAACTCCAAAACAAATGAATGGTTTGATTCATTCCACACATCTTAATCATTATGCGTTTCCTTAAAATTCTTTGTCCTTGGATAATCTACAGTTTGCTTTTTTAGTACTTGTGTTCAGAGAGGCTTTTTGCACCTCCTACATAAAAATAATACATCAGGCACACGAGACAATGCACCACAAAGATAGTTGATAAAATGTCCTGGTTTTCGTTAAATGTTCCCGTAACGACAGCAGAACAGTGTTGGTATCCCCTGGACGGTTACTCTGTACTAATGTCTGACTCTATTTATCAGACTGACAAATGCACTGTTCTCAAGCTAAAAATATTAAATGTTATTTTGAAGATGCAAGGGTTTCATCTGAAAACAGCATCATGCAGCAGTCACCTTCAGCAAAGACGAGCACCATCCTCTAAAAAAAAAAAAAGATCAATAACAGCATCATAAGAGCTTGAAAGCTTTTCTTTCTTTTGTGGTCTGTCGCGAGCCTGATGTCAAAACACATCAGTGACAGCAACAAAAAAGATGCCAAGAAAACAGATCTTGTCGTTGCTGCTGCCTCTGCGGAAGATGAAAAATGTGTCAGACAATAATCCCAGTTATATCTGGAATTCATCACTGGACATTTCTGGGATTATTTACTGAATATGTCTGCTAAAATAGAAAGACAACAGAGAGGTTTGCTGTTCTCACTGCTGACTCTCTTGTGGCAGGCAGATAAATGAGCTGAATCCTAATCAAGTTTAAAGTAATCTTTTAACTCTCATGTGTGGCTTTGACAAAAGGCTTTCAAATTAACCATTAGTGGGGAACTCACTGCTGAGGCCGACAAACAACAGCAGCAGAATCAGCAACACATGCAGGAGAAACACACACAAATTCAAACTAGATTCAAACTATCAGTATTTTTCAACTGCAGATCATTTGGCAGCATAATTATGATCCTCTCCCTGTGGTGCAGAGGGTGGAGGACAAGTGTCTTGCTAACACACAGGCATAAGAGAACATGCCAGAAATGTACATAAACGTCCTAATAGCAACTCATAAATCCCCTCGAAGGCAAATTTGACATGCTTGAAAGTGGTTACAACAGACTAGATGTGAGCAGGGGAGAGGGGCAAGTCCAGGATTGCGGGGACGTTGACGATAGCTCACCTGCGATGGCGTGCGGGTCTGCAGAGTACTCCTGAACATCCAACACCCCGCAGTCTAAAGATGCCTTCAGCTTCTTGAGTTTGGAGGCCGAGGGAGCGATTCGGAACAAACCCTGAGGCACAAAACACGACACCAGTGAGACAGAGAAACCAAGGTCACGCCACATCTACAGCACGAGACAAGAAGAGCAAAAACAGATGAATGACAGTGGCAAGAGAGGTTCTCAGATCTTTAAGTAAAAATATCACAGTGTAGAAAAACTCTATTACAATCAAAAGTGAAAATGAAAGTAAAAGTATGCATTATGCAGAATGGACCATTTACAAATCATATATTGTCTTTAACTATACATGTGGTGACTCATAACCATGCCTTTTATGTTGCAGCTGGGTCAAGTAGGGCTGATTTGAATCACTTTACATGCATATGCTGCTGGGTAACTTCATCTCTAGTAATACAACATCATTTATTAAATGATTACATTTTCTATTAAACATAGAGTTGGTGATTCATTTCAGAAGCATTATTTGTTGCTTTCTTGAAATTCTCTTTTTCATCCCGTGAGGACATTAAACGCACTGACAACATAAAGAAAAAATACATCATCTGTGGCAGCAGCAGGACTGAAAAATAACTGACCAATAACTTTACTCAGTCTGAGCAGAACCACTGGACGGCCTACCTGGCTGTCAGCCGAGCTTCCCACTCTGCCCTTCGCAGTCTGCCCGTGTACTCAGTGTGTGAGACAAGAGTCTCCCACAAGGCCAGGCAGGCAGACGTGTTACCGCTCTGTCTTACAGCTAAAGCTAGCGAGCTATAGCAGAGCAGGTACCACAGCAGCTTTCGGTCACAACCGCAGACCGTAGTCAATCAGTGCATGTTGTAGTGTGCGTTGTGTTTTGGAGGTGTGGCTTTGGAGAGAAATCGGAACCAAAGGCTGGGATTTCCTCTGTTGGTTGCTTTGAAAATCAAGCTTCCTCTTGCTGGTTTTTCCAGGATCGCCAACCCTACCTTTAACATGATATATTGATCTAATTATATTGTTTAATTGCCTTTTCAAATATACCAGGAATTAATTGTATTAAATTAAACAGATGAAATTAAACAACAACATTCTGCACCATGCTGCAAAACATGACCCACAATATGAAATAAACACCATGTTTGTGTAATTATAAAGGGAACTAATTAATCATAATATGTATTTGTCTTTTCACCTCAGTTGCCATTACTGTACTCTCAGTCATTCTCCAGGAAACATTTGTTACATGCTGAGCACTTAAAGCTGCAGCAGCTCCAGTGAACAGCTCACTGGGCTGATAATAAAAAATCATCACACAGTAATTAAACAGATATTTGTTTCAGACATTAGGCAAACTGCTCTGAGGAAACCAAACTGCAGCCTGGACCTCATTAGATGCCATTTCCCTTCAGTTAATTAAGAGTGACTCCATCTTGCTGGCATTTCTCACCAGGAAATTTGTTTACTGTGTGTGTGTGTCAGTGAGGACGGCTGCAGTGTGTGTAGCGGAGTCTGACCTCCTCCTGCATGCCGCACTCCAGCAGCATGGTGACACAGGCCTCGATGGGAAAGGCAATATCTCTCCCGCTGAGCGCTAAGTGCTCCTCTAATGGTTTCCCATAGCATGGTTTCTCCGCCCAGGTCTCTGCCAAACGCACACACACACACCGACATACCCTGTTACACACTCACAAACATGCACAAAATACAGTAAGCAGCTCTGCTTCTGGGATGCTGGTGCATACTCAGTCTATTAAAGAATTTGCTGTAAGGCCACAGAAAGTTTCCAAAACAAATAAATATATTTTCTGGGCAATCTTAAAAAAAGACAGCAGGTTATTACGACCAGCTGTTCTGTGTTTTATATAGAGTTGGAAGGAAAGCTGATAGAAGATTTGGGCTGATGCCTGGGGTAGCCATTACAGCTAATTGCACAGGAATATGCATCTGGATCAACTGGCCAGCTGACCTGATGACCAGGCGATCATCCTATGCAGCTAGCTCTAATGGCTACCCCCAGATGGCTGTAGCTTTGGACTCAGAGAACAATGTGAGAAATCATTTGACTGGCATCATGTTTATTCTGAGCTCTGTTGGCGGCTAACCAGTTGCCCCAGTGACTCGTCTCTCTAAAACGGAGGTAGTGATAGCAAAATTAGCAGTAGCTACAGATCCCCACACCCACTTTTATGGGAAATACAACAGTTTAAAATAACCTGAAGTTATTCTTTAAATAAGCTCTTGAATTGTTTTTTTTATTGCTGGGCTCTGTGACGGCCAGGTCACTCAGAGAAGAGGGAATGAAGAATTCGACCATCATCGGCTCAGGTGGCAGCAGCAAGCAGCCATCTGCTGCTGCCTGACTGTAGCTTAACTTTGACTGCTGCTTATTAAGTTACAAATATTTAATGTTACAGAAAAAGATCTGAAACCATCATTTCAAGGGTTTTAAAATGTTGCCTGGCTGACAAAAGGGGTGTATTTCTCCCAGGTTATGAAAGTACCATGTAAGATTTATGCCAATCAGCGAAGAAGTACAGAACTCTCATATTGAGAACCTTTTACTTCTTTGGAGTACTCGACACTGTCAGGGCCACAGCCTCTCCTCTGCTCTCTCT